CAAAACGACGACGGAAGAGGTCTGGGTACCCAATTACCCTCCTTTGCGCCAGTTACTACTCGAAGAATACCACGACGTCCTCTACGCCGGACACTTCGATAGCAACAAGACGCTGACCGGTATTGCGAAACACTACTACTGGCCCCACTTGGCAGAGGATGTGCAGAAATTTGTCACCTCGTATGATACATGTCAACGGATGAAGAGCAGCAAGCAGAAAAAGGCGGGACTACTGCAGCCTCTTCCTGTCCCAGAACAGCCATGGCAAGTGGTTAGCCTGGACTTCATCACCGGGTTACCACCTACCACCAGCGGTCATGACGCAATCCTTGTCGTCATCGACAAGTTCTCCAAAATGGGACACTTCATCCCGACACACACGACAGCACGCACCGAGGAGACAGCACAACTATTTGTTCCATACATCATCTCACAGCATGGCATTCCAACCACACTTATCTCCGACCGAGACCCCAAGTTCACCAGCAAGTTCTAGAAGGAACTTATGTCTCTGCTCGGGACCAAACTCGCCATGTCATCCGCTTACCATCCGCAGACAGACGGACAGACCGAGCGCCTCAACCAGACTGTCGAGCAACTCCTCCGAGCAGCCTGCAAGGACGAGATCTCCAAATGGGACTTGCACCTACCCGTCCTGGAGTTTGCCTACAACAATGCCACTCACGCCGCTACTGGCCAGACGCCGTTCTACCTCTGCTACGGACGCCACCCACTCACACCACAGAAACCGACAACATCTGCTATAGTCCAAGCTGCGCATGATTTCATCACCACCATGCACCAGCTTTGGGATCGGACCCACAAGCGCCTCCTCGACATTTAGCAGCAACAAAAGCGCCAGGCCGATCGCCATCGCAACGACCACACCATCACGGTGGGAGACCAGGTGCTTCTTGACACCCGCAACCTGGACATCAGCCACCTCCCATCTAAACTTCGACCTCGCTTCTGCGGGCCTTTTCTCGTTGAAGCACATGTCACTCCTGTTACCTTCCGCTTACGCCTGCCAGCTACCTGGAAGATTCACAACGCCTTCCATGTCCAACTTCTGAAGCCCTATCGGGATCCCAACACGATCTTCGTCGGTCGCCAACCGCCGCCGCCGCCTTCCGTCCTCGTCCAGAATGAACCCGAGTACGAGGTCGAATCCGTGCTTGCACACGGCCGTCGTCGGAATGGCACCGTGGAGCTTCTCATCCGTTGGAAGGGTTATGATCCTTCTGAGCACAGCTGAGTACCTGAGTCCGACATGGGTAACGCCCGTCGTCCTCTGCAGGACTACCTTGTCAAGCAGGGTGTTACTTCTACCACCCAGCTTTGAGGGGGGGAAGTGTGAGAGTACGAACCCGTTATACCACTTGTCCCTTTTCTTATTTCCTTCCTCTTTCATTTCTCTCTTTATCCCATCTCATTTGGTTTCCTATTTTCTCTTTCCCATTTACCTTTGATTTATCCTGCTATTATAATTATATCACCGACCAGGCTTGGGATGTACTGGTGCACTCTATCTAGCGTAATCCTGCCGTAATCCCTTAAAGCCAATAGCTTCGCGTGGCTATACGCAGGGTGATTCTATCTTCTGGAAGGGTCTATTCCCTAAAGATAAGATAAACCTGGTTACCTGATGTACTCTGGAAGTATAAAAGCGCCTTGTACTGATCGATAGTGCAATCTTTCCTCGAGACATTCGATCCTGTGACAATGCAGACACGTCACCAGAGAACCCAGTCAAAAGAAGGGTCGGCAAAACCTATGGCCACTTAGAGTGTGGCCACAAGTTAAGCTGGTAAGCGGTGTAGCGAACAACGAATGGCCACAGAAAATGGGGTGCACCGGCATGGATCATGGAGGTACAAGCCACCTTCATGACCAAACCGATACGTCGCTGAGCGTTCCCATTCTGCTGCGGGGAATCCGGCAGGGTGTAGGAGTGGGTGATGCCCTCGGCACGACAGAAACGGCCAAACTGACCGGAGGCAAACTCGTCGCCACGGTTGGAGTGGAGACGAAGCACTGGGAGGTCGCGGTGGACGCACGCAGCTTCGACCCACAGGTTAAGAACGTCAAGCACGTCGGCCTTCCATTCTAGGGGAAACACCATGGTGTAGCGTGTAGTTGTCGACAAGCACTAGAAAGTAGCGCTCTCGACGCAGCCCAGGGACGGGGGCTGGGCCCCAAACGTCCAAGTGCAGGGTTCGGAGTGGCGCAGTTGTAGGGGGAAACGAGGAGGAGTGAGGAGCACAGCGCAACCGACCCTCGACGCAAGGTGTACACGGCGGCGCAGGCGAGGGGGGAAGGGCAGGGAGCGATATAGGCAGGCGGCGATAGCAGCGCTCTGCAATGTGGCCAGACCGGGAGCAGGCGGTGCCATGGCGGGGGCCGGTCTGAAGTTGATACTGGCAGGTGACCGCACTGGAGCCGCCACCTAACACCGAGCTGCGCCCGCCACCACCACGACCACCACCACTAGCGCCGCCTGTCCACCACGGCGGCGGGGGTCCCCACGGCGACTGCTGCTGCTGCGACGACTGCTGCTGCGGCTGCTGGTGCTGCTGCGGCTGCTGGTGCTGCTGCTGAGTCTGCTGATGCTGCTGCTGAGGCTGCGTCTGCTGCTGCTGCTGCCAGGGGGGCACAAGCCCCAGTCCCCTCGTCCGAACCACCATCCCCGCCCCCACCTCCTCCACCCTCCCCACCCCCACCCCCCTTCCCTCCACCACGCCCCCCCTTGGGGTGGCGGCCCTTACCCGGACGCGACTATGCTGAGGCCACTGCGGCGGTAGCAGAGACGTCAGAGTACCGCTAGACTGAGCGATAGTGCACTTGCGGGTCTCTATCGCAGTCAGGGCGGTGACAAAGGCGGGGAGGGTGAGGTCACCGGGGTGCTGACTAAGGAAGTGGTCGCAGGCTGTGGCTAGGCAGTGGGGGAGGCGGGTGGCAATGAGAAAAAGGGTAGTGGAGAGCGACAGCGGAAAGGCAGTGAGCTGAGCCTTGGTGCTAGCAGCGCGGTAGCTAGTCTCGAGAGCGTGAAGGTGAGTGGCAAGGTCGACGACAGTGGGGAAGGACGCAAGATCAGGGAACAGCATGGGGAGGATCAGGCAGCCAGCAGAGGCGAAGGCGGGGGTGGAATTGCACGCAATGACTGCATCTAAGAAAGCCTGGGCGTTCGCTACATTGGTAAAGCGGGGACGCTCAAATAGAGGAAGCGCGTGGCTAATAGCAAGCTGCACGTCAGCGTCGCACGAGTCCCAGACTGCACGAGCAAGCGCACCAGTGGAAAAGGCCACACGCTCAGCAGTGGTGGGGGCAGCAGGGAGGGCAACAGGCGCAGCGGGGGGGGGAAGCCAGCCATCGACATGAACAGCCAGGAGTGACCGTCCTGGCGCTGACCTGTAAGGTGATGGCAGAGGTCGAAGAGCCACGCCTCGAAGTCTATCGCCCGACCCTCTCCGTCCAGGCGGAGCTGTGAGTCCGCCATCACCACGGCTGCTGCAGCTGAGTGCCGCTGAGAGGTCGAGGAGGAAAGGCAAAGGAAAGTAGTGGAGAGCGGTGGAGAGCGGTGGAGTGCAGTGGAGTGCGGTGGAGAGTGGTGGAGAGTAGTGGATGTTGGTGCAACCCAATGGCTTGCACTCGGCTTGTCGTCCTTGTTTGTGTGTGTGCATGTATGGCATGGAATGAATTGTGAGTCTATGTCATTGCTATCTAGTGCTTGTATGTGAGTTTGGATGGTGTATCACAATGTGGTTTGTGTCGGTCAAGACATTAGCGAGTTTTTACAACTCGCATGTCAAGTCGTCGTTTGTGTCGCATGTGTTTTTCTATTTTGTCGAGTGTGAAGTGTCCATCGCATCGCAGGAGTGTGCAGCAAGCCCCCATCAACTCAAGAAGAATTTATCTTGCAGAACCAAGACCAAGAGCTCAAGATTTCAAGCCCAAGGGACACGGATAAATATTAAATAGTGAAAATAGTAATGCTACTTCGTGTAGTGTTACATTGCACTTGGTGTAGCCCCTTGGAGGGTTTGTTTCGAGACTCTTCATGGTTGGGGACTCTGTGGTGGTGTACCACCAACCTGGACCTCGGCTCTTGGGGTATGTAGAGGCTGGGAACCATCTCCCTCTCGAATTCTTCTTGCTAAGTTTGTACTTCCAAGACTATAGTGGCTGCTATACCTCCTGCCAGTCAAACCGCCATAGCGTCATCAAATCTTCATGGAATTTCATGATTCAACTTGCTGCTGATAGACGACAGCAACGCGCTTCAGATCCAACTTACAGATCATCAATTCATTTAGTGACCAGATCGTTATCAATATTTGAAGCCGTCTGACGGAAATGCGACTGTGCTCTCTATCTCTCATATTGGCACATCTTAGCCTATTGTGATTATAACAAGTGGTATCAGAGCCCCTTGGAGCCGTCTCGACCATGCCTAGACCTGAGGAAGGGGGTGGCAGAGGTGCTGGAGGCAGAGAAGACGCCCAAGCACAAGGTCAACACCAAGATCCACCCGTTGCTCCGGTGCAACCTAGCCTTGGACCCTCTAGGGATGAGCCGAGAGTGTTTGGCCTTGACAAGTTCAACGGTGACAACTTTGCTGAGTGGTCCTTCAAGATGGAGAACATCTTTGACCACTATGATCTGCTGGAGGTGATGGAAGGAACGGAGAAGCGCCCCGAGAACGACCCGGAGAAGAGCCCGTGGGTGCGGAAGAGCGCACAAGGCTATCTTCTACTTGGGCAAGCGTTGGGGAGCAGCCAAATCCGTCACATCAAGCCTTTTCAGCGTGAACCAGCAAAGGGACCAAAGGCATGGGCTGCTCTCAAGGGTGTACACGCTCCTGCAACAGCGGCGGTGGCTGTGGTTTTGGAGCGGCAAATGGCGGCACTTCGAATTGACGAAGGCGAACCGGTGGAGGAAGGAGTGCAGAAATTCTTCGACTTGTTGACACGGCTCGAAGGAGCTTCGCTCGAAGGCCGTGGTAATGGAGGATATGGTAGCAACAACAACAACAATGGCTACGGGCGTGGGCGCGGTCAATTTGATGGCGAATGCCACTTTTGTCACAAGACCGGCCACAAGTGGAGAGATTGGTTCAGATTGCCTGATGGATGGACCCCTTCTCAAGGCCAAGAGGGCAGAGGAGCAAGGGGAGGAAGAGGCAGAGGTCGTGGAGGCCGTGGTGGTCGTGGAAGCGAAGCGGCAAGCATGAAAGGTGGAGACTACGACAAGGACTCGAGTGAAGATCGATACCCGGGCCAATTCTTCTTTGTCTCCACGCAAGCGGCAGCTGCAGCAGGAGGTGTGGAAGGCTTTGAGGAGGCAGCTACTGTGGGAAAGGTCACCCTTCACTCTCTGGACTTTTGGGTGATCGATAGCGGCGCCACCTATAGCATGACACCTCGTGCGGACTTGCTCACCGAACTCGAACCGTCGCCGGTCAAGCATGTTACATCGGCTTTGGGGCAGCGAGCAGAGGTGAAAGGCATGGGCAAGGCCATGTTCAAGGGTGCTGATGGGAAGATGGTGGGCCTCAAGAACGTGCTTTTGGTGCCCAACCTAGCAGCCAACCTGATTTCCGTTCAGCGTTTGCAAAAGGCCGGCATGGACACATCTTCCAAGGGATCCAAAACCTATACCGCAAGGCTTGGTGAGCGGAAGCTTTGGGACCTTCATGAGGACAGGGACATCTACAATGAGATGTGGCAAATCCCAGTGGTCCCCATGCCTAAAGAGAGGCAAGTGGCAGCAAGCGTCAGCACCAAGCGTGAAGCGGTTAGTGGCGGTGATCACGGAAAGCAAAGTGACACCAAGAGTGACTCGAAGGAGTGCAACCTTGGAGAGACCAGCAAGGCGTGTGAACCCAAGGAGAATGGTGCAGCAGCCAAAGGTGGTGGAAATGAGGAGGAGAAGGCTAAGATCAACAAAGCAGCAGCGGCGAAGGAGAAAGGAGAGAGCTTGTGGGGCACAATTGCGAGTGCCGCTTTCTCCAACCCGACTTCCGCTACGGGAGAGTGTGATTGGCTGACCTTGCATCGGCGAATGGGGCATGTGGCATTGCCCATTTTGCAGCAGATTGTTAAGCAAGAGATGGTCAGTGGGATACGTGTCAAGGGGGAGCCCAATGAGGTGCTTGGCTGTCCAACATGCATGCAAGCCAAGTTCACCCGCTACCCGTTCCATAGCTCGGAGACAACGGCGAAGGCACCACTTGCTGAGGTGGTGATGGATGTGGTGGGCCCCTTGAAGCTTGGAGCTGCTGGAGCAGAGAACCTCCTCACCATTGTGGACGTCTACACTCGCATGACTTGGGTGTATGTGCTGCCCAAGAAGATTGACGTAGCTGAAACGGTGAAAACCAATTGGTTGCCAAGGGTGGAGCGGCAACAAGACCGACTTGTGAAGGCGATTCGCACTGACCGTGGGGGAGAGTTTCTGAGCAAGGATTTCTCAACTTCGCTGAAGAATCAGGGCATAAGGCACTCTCTTACCATGCCCTACTCTCCTGCAATGAACGGCATCGCCGAGCGTGCGAATCGGACACTCACGGAGACGGCTCGGGGACTTCTCATTGAAGCCGGTCTTCCCAATTACTTTTGGCCGGATGCGGTGCGGCATGCTTGTGTGGCCAAGAACAGAGCCTTGACTCATGTGGGAGAAGACAAATGGGTGCCCTATGTGGAGTGGATTGGAAGGAAGCCGAAGGTGGATATGCTTCGGGTGTTCGGGTGCATGTGCATGGCACTTGTGCCTAAGAAACTTCGGCACAACAAGCTTGATGCCAAGGCAACATGGGCCGTGCACCTGGGCATGGCCCAAAACAGCAAGGGATGGCTTCTATGGGACCCATTTACCAAGAAGTTCCTGGTGAGCAGAGATTGCAAGTTCATGGAGAACTTACCGTACAAGGAGTGGAAGGCGGAGAACCAAGCGAAGATTGGTATGCGGCTTGGAGAGGTGAAGAGGACCGGCTTGGAGCATGTGGAGCTGCCCTTGGAGCTGAGTAGCAGCAGCACAATCACGAGGCAATCTCCCCAGATGAATGGGGATGAGGAGGAGGAGGAGGTGCAGCAAGGTAATGAGCGTGCACCGCCACTTCCGCCTCGTGCTACAAGTGCTCGCGGGAACCGACCGGACTTACCGCAAAGCCATGAGAGCATTCAAGTCCCTGCAGCAGAGGAGGAAGGAAGGGGGAGAAGGAGGACTCAACCCCCCAATAGGTTGAGCTATGAACGGCTTGGAGGACCAGCCAACTCAACCTTGACCGGTTCGGCTCTCATGCTAGGCGACGATGCGGAAGATGAAAGCGAGGAGTGCGCTTTTGCCTTCTTCTCTCCGGTGGAGATACCGGGGGAGCCTACAAATCCCAAGGAGGCTTGGGAGGGCCTCAATGGGAAGGAGTGGAAGTAGGTCTCAGATGAAGAAATGGGGAGCATCATCGAGAACGACACGTTTGACTTGGTGAACCTACCTCCGGGGCGTAAGGCGATTTCTTCCAAGTGGCTCTTCAAGCGCAAGACCGACGCCGACGGCAACATTGAGCGCTACAAGAGCAGACTTGTAGCCAAGGGGTACCAGCAGCAGGAGAAGAAGGACTACAATGAAGTATATGCTCCTGTGGTGAAGGGTACAACCCTTCGAACTCTCTTCGCCGCGGCGGCCATCAAAGGATGGGTGGTGAAGCAAATGGATATAGTAACGGCCTTCCTCAACGGCTTTTTGGAGGAAGAGACCTTCATGGAGCAGCCAGAGGGGTACAATGATGGGAGTGGCAGAGTGTGGAAGCTGAAGAAAGCACTCTATGGCCTCAAGCAAGCCCCTAGGCAATGGTACATCAAGCTGCGGGAAGTCTTGGAGGCGATCGGCTTCACTCCCTCAACGGCCGATCAATCCTTGTTCATGCTTGGCGAGGGGGAGCAGAGGAGCTTCATGGTGGTTTATGTGGATGACATCCTCATATTCTCACCCTCCTCTGACCTTGTGAAGGAGGTGATGCTGAAGCTTCAAGACAAGTTCAAGTGCAAGACCCTTGGTGACGTCAACTACTACCTTGGGCTTCACATTGAGCGAGATGTGGAGAAGCGGTGGATGCGAGTGCATCAAAAGAAGTACTTGGAGGCCTTGTCTGCAAACTTTGGGAAGATTGAAGGTCATGTGGCTACTCCTCTTCCCTCAGGGTTCAAGTGTGTGAAAGGACCAGCGGAGGAAAGTGTTGGTGAAGAGGAGAGGCGCCGTTTTCACTCCTTGGTGGGCAGCCTCATGTATGCGGCCGTTCACATAAGGCCGGATGCAGCCTTTGCTACAGGGCAGCTAGCTAGGGTTGTCCAATGCCCTAATAAGGAGCAGGTAGCAGCTGGAGAGAGGGTGGCCAAGTACCTTGGCCAAACAGCAACTGTTGGACTGCAATACTCCGCGGCGGCACAAAGGCGTCAAAAGGGTGCAGATGGAGTCGAACCCGGGAGGCTCTTTCTCACCGCCTTCTCTGATGCATCTTGGGCATCAGAACCAGAGGATATGACAAGTGTGGGAGGCTTCATCTGCTGTGTTGGTGGAGGCCCAACAGCTCGGGAGAGCAAGAAGCAAGTGGACCAAGCATTGAGCTTGGTGGAGTCCGAGTACATGGCACTCTTCCGTGCCATAAGGGAGGTTGTGTGGCAGCGGCGTTTGCTAGCTGAATTGGGGGAGGAGCAGCAAGGACCTACCCCTCTCTATTGTGATAGCCAGGGTGCCATTGCATTGGCTAAGAACCCGGTTCTTCATGGCCTTACCAAGCACATGAAGGTGAAGTGGCATTGGGTGAGGAGCATGGTAACCTCGGGTGAAGTGGAGTTGCACTATGTGAAGACGACGGCGCAGCCAGCTGATATGATGACCAAGAGGCTGGTTGAGCAGCAGCATTGGAAGTGTTGCAAGCTTGCTGGGATGGCTCTGAACTAAGGGGAGCAGATTCTAAGGCCAACAATCCGAGGGGGAGTTTGTTGGTGCAACCCTATGGCTTGCACTCGGCTTGTCGTCCTTGTTTGTGTGTGTGCATGCATGGCATGGAATGAATTGTGAGTCTATGTCATTGCTATCTAGTGCTTGTGTGTGAGTTTGGATGGTGTATCACAATGTGGTTTGTGTCGGTCAAGACATTAGCGAGTTTTTACAACTCGCATGTCAAGTCGTCGTTTGCGTGTCGCATGTGTTTTTCTATTTTGTCGAGTGTGAAGTGTCCATCGCATCGCAGGTGTGTGCAGCAAGCCCCCATCAACTCAAGAAGAATTTATCTTGCAGAACCAAGACCAAGAGCTCAAGATTTCAAGCCCAAGGGACACGGATAAATATTAAATAGTGAAAATAGTAACGCTACTTCGTGTAGTGTTACATTGCACTTGGTGTAGCCCCTTGGAGGGTTTGTTTCGAGACTCTTCATGGTTGGGGAATCTGTGGTGGTGTACCACCAACCTGGACCTCGGCTCTTGGGGTATGTAGAGGCTGGGAACCATCTCCCTCTCGAATTCTTCTTGCTAAGTTTGTACTTCCAAGACTATAGTGGCTGCTATACCTCCTGCCAGTCAAACCGCCATAGCGTCGTCAAATCTTCATGGAATTTCATGATTCAACTTGCTGCTGATAGACGACAGCAACGCGCTTCAGATCCAACTTACAGATCACCGTTTCATTCAGCGACCAGATCGTTATCAATATTTGAAGCCGTCTGACGGAAATGCGACTGTGCTCTCTATCTCTCATTTTGGCACATCTTAGCCTATTGTGATCATAACAGTGGAGAGCGGTGTGAGTGCGGTGGAGTGCGGGGCCAGCGGGGTGGATGGGGCCGGCGGGGCTTGACGGGGCCAGTGGGGCACTAACGGAGCTAGCGGGGAGAACAGGGCCAGCGAGGCGTACGGGGCCGGCGGGACGCACAGGGCTAGTGGGGCTCGACGGGACTAGCGGGGCGCGAACGGGGCTGCGGGGCGTACGGGGCCAGCAGGGCGCTAATGGGGCCAGTAGGGCACTAAAGAGCCAGCGGGGCTCTAAGGGGCCAGCAGGATGTACGGGGCCAGCGGGGCACTAAGGGGGCAGCGTGGCACTAACGAGGCCATGGAGGCGCTAACGGGGCGGCTAGGACTAGGCTAGGCCTAAGGCAGAAGTACGGGTGGGCGGGGGGGGGGGACCTGACCTAGCGTGATACCATATCAGAATGAGAATGATTGACTAGAATGATGCAAACAGGTTGGTTTTGTCTAAGGGGTTGTACCCTCTAAGAGTACGCACCCATCTAGCTTTTAAGACATATACAAAATATGTTTGACAACCTTACACACTCTTTGGAAACATAAACCCGTATACGTATAATGAAGCGCAAAGGGAGAAGGATTGAGTAACGAGGAAAGAATACAACTGAGGTAACATCAAAACAATGGGGAGCATGGATATAGCTAGCCTAGGAATGTCAACTTATACATACTGTTACATGTAGAAGTTATAGGCTAGAATAGGTGTGTGTTCTTAGAGAGTACAACCACTTGAACAAAATCAACCTGTATGCCTCATTCTAGTTACTTTTTCTACTCTGAGATCGTATCACGCCCTAGGTTAGGTCCTCCCCACCCACCCGCGCTCCCGCTCTCGTCCTAGTCCTAGCCGCCCGCTCCTAGCCACCCCTTAGCGCCCCGTCGGCCCCGTGCGCCCCACCGGCCTGTTAGCGCCCTTCCGGCCCCGTTAGCGCCCTGTCGGCCCCGTGTGCCCCCTTTGGCCCGTTAGCGCCCTGCCGGCCTGTTAGCGCCCTGCCGGCCCCGTTCGCGCCCTTTGGCCCCGTGCGTCCCGTTGGCCCTGTTAGTGCCCCGTGCGCCCCTCTGGCCCTGCTCGCCCCGCCAGCCCGTTAGCGCCCCGCCAGCCCGTTAGCGCCTTGACGGCCCCATTTGAGCCCCGTCGGCCCTATGCGCCCCTCTGGCCCCGCTCGCCCCACCGGCCCGTTAGCGCCCTGCCCGCCCGTTCGCGCCCTACAGGCCCCGTTAGCGCCCCGTTGGTCCCGTGCGCCCCACTGACCCCGCTCGCCCCGCCGGCCTGGCGCCCCGCCGGCTCCGTTGGCACCCTATTAGCCCCATTAGCGCCCCGTTGGCCCCGTGCACCCCGTCGGCCCTCGCCAGCTGGCCGGCCAGCCAGCTGCCCAGCCTAGCCGGCCCTCGCCTCAGTGGCCAGCCGCCGGGCCGTCGAGTCACAGCGCCGACCCACCGGCTTTGGCTCCCTTCAGTGCCGGCTCCCCTGCCAACTGTCTCCACCACTCTCCACCGCTCTCCACCGCACTCCACCACACTACACCGCACTCCACTGTACTCCACTGCACTCCACCGCTCTCCACCGCACTCCACCGCAGTACACCGCAATCCACCGCTCTTCACCGCACTCCACTGCTCTCCACCACACTCCACCGCTCTCCATCACTTCCTCCACTTGTCCTCTTTACTCTGTCAGCGGCCGTCAGCAGCTGCAGCAGTGGTGATGGCAGAGTCACAACATGAAGGTTAGCGAAGCAGTAGCGTCCGCGGGCGGAGGGGCTAGCGTGGAGCCTAGGCTAAACAAGGCAAGGGGCCCTACGCCTGACGCAGCAGGGGCACCTAGACTACATACAGCGGACACACCTACGCTAGGAAACACCGGGTAATAGGGTCCAGTCACACTAGAGTCATCAGCATACATGGCATACAAAGCAGACCTAATCTGATCCATGTCCATCTCAAAGACAGGCACACGACGATGCACCAAGCTGTACCAGTCCGGGGGGTCCGCCAAGGGGCCGAAGCGGAGACGGAAGAGGTCGTCGAGGCTGCGGTAGCAGCGTGCGGCGGCGTGACCGGGGCAGTAACTGACAGTTCCGTGGCGGGGGCCGGACTAAAGCAGATACTGGCAGGTGACCACAATGGAGCTGCCACCCGACACCGAGCTGCGCCCCCCACCACCACCAGAACCGCCAGGCCACCACGGTGGCGGGGGCGCCCACGGCGACTGCTGCTGCTGCTGCTGCTGAGGCTGTTGGGGCTACTGCTGCTACTACTGCTGATGAGGCTGCTGCTCCGGGGCACCAGCACCGGTCCCCTCGGCTGCACCACCGTCCCCTCCACCACCTTCGCCACCCTCGCCACCTCCACCACCTTTCCCGCTGCCACGCCCTCACCGGGCTCGGCGCCCCCTACCCTGACGCGACTGCGCTGAGGCCGACATAGCGGTCTCAATAGCAGGGGCCATCTCAGCAACAATGGCAAAGGCGTCAGAGTAAGTGCACTGGGAGGGAGCACAGCCCTGGAAGATAGGGATCTCCGCAGTACCGCTCGACTGAGCGATAGTGCGCTGGCGAGTCTCCATCGCGGTCAGGGTAGTAACAAAGTCAGTGAGGGTGAGGTCAGCAGGGTGGAGGGCAAGGAAGAGGTCGCGGGCATTGGCTAGGCGGTCAGGAAGGCGCGTGGCAAGGAAGCAGAGGGTAGCGCCGAGGGGGGGAGGCAGTACAAGAAGCTGAGCCTCAGTGCTAGCAGCGTGGTAGCTAGTCTCTAGTGCGCGCAAGTGAGTGGCGAGATCAGCGACAGTGGGAAAAGACGTAAGGTCGGGGAAGAGCAGGGGGGGGGGGAGATGACCGGCGGAGGGGAGGAGGGACTAGAATAGCGTGCAATAACAGCATCTAAGTACGCATGCGATGTCTCTAGGGCCTGATAGCAGGGGCGCTCAGACAGGGGGAGGGCGCGACTGATAGCAAGCTGCGCAATTGCGTCACGCGACTCCCGGACGGAGCAAGCGAGTTCAGCAGTGCAAAGGCCTCACACTCAGCGGGCATGGGGGCTTCAGAGAGGGCAGCAGGCGGGTCTGGGCAGTGGATCTTACCGTCGACGTGAACGACCAGAGACTGACCATGCTGGCGCTGTCCCCTCAGCGAGCGGCGGAGGTCGGCGAGCCACGCCTCAAAGTCGATCGCCCGACCCTCCGCGTCCAGGCGGAGCACAGCGTTCGACATCACCACGGCTGCAGCAGCTGACCGCCGCTAGGGGAGGGGGAAGAGAGGGCGGTGGAGAGCAGTGGTGAAGATGGCCGGCTGGAGAGCTGGCACAGAAGAGGGAACCAAGGCCGGCAGGTCGGGGCAGCACAGCAGCATGGCGGCTCGGCGACTCGGCAACTCGGCGACGCGGCGGCTCTGCTACTCGGCGACTCGGCAGCTCGACGGCGCAGCGGTGTGACGCGGCGAGGCTCAGCGGCGCAGCGGCTCTGCGGCACAGTGCGGCGCGGCGTGACGGGGCGGCACGGCGCGGCGGCACGGTACGACGCGGCAGGGACACGGAGTGACGGGGCCAGCGAGGCGCGACAGGGCCGGCGCAGTCGAGTGGGGCCGGCGCGACGGGGCCGGCACGGCAGGACGGGGCGGCACAGCATGACGGAGCCGGCGCGGCGGGACGGGGCCGGCGCAGTGGGACGGGGCTGGCGCAGCGTGACGGGGTTGGCGCGGCGTAGCGGGGCCGGCGCAGCGTGACGCGGCGGCACGGCGTGACCGGGCCGGCGCAGCGTGACGGGGCTCGCACGGCGTGAAGGGTCCGGCGCGGTGTGACAGGGCCGGCGCGTTCTAGCGGGGCCGATGCGGCGAGACGCGGCCGGGGCAGATTCACAGGCAGGCGCGGCGTGACGGCACCGGCACGGCGTGACGGCGCCGGCGCGGCTTGACGGGGCCAGCGCGGTCTAGCGGGGCCAGCGCGGCAGGACGGGGCCAGCGCTGCGTGTCAGGGCCAGCGCGGCGTGACGGGGCCAGCGTGGCGTGGGCTAGGGCGCGGTCTAAGGCTAGGGCTAAGGCAAGGGGCGGAAGCGTAGGCGGGGAGGGGGACCTAACCTGGCATGATACCATATTAGAATAACGCAAATGATTAGAAGGAAGAGGGAACAAGGGAGATATAGGGTTTGGTTTGAACTCTCTAAGAGCACACACGTATTCTAGCCTATAACTTCGA